ATTCATTTGTTCAAAACTCATTTTCAACTACACATTCTCATATAAAATAATTTTACACGTAAATTCAAAAAAAAAAAAATGACCTTTATTGATTTTATAGTGCGATTTGTTGGCTGTCAATTTGATTGAACTATTTTCTTAGCAGGAAATAAGAGATTGGAAATAATGCACAAAAATGTCATTATTATTATTTAGATCCTCGTAAAAGATTGAACTCGACGTTCAAAAGATAATTTATTAAAATATATTTTTCGATTAAAGAGATTAACTATTTCACGTGTTGGGTTTAAATGCTCCAACATGAATTGATGTCCTAGGAGGACAATTTGTTAGCATTATGTTTAATATATCTATGGCATGAAGCGTGAATATATTCGATTGTAAGATAAAAATCTCCAAAAGAAAATGGAGCAATCAACAAAGATGGTCCCATTTAAGAGACGTAAACTTTTAGAAAGTATATAGACATTTCTAGATCGGACCTATTGACTCAAGATATTTGCATTTTGAAGAATGTCATAATATATACGAATTGAATAAGTTTTGCCAACTAATCCAAAGTGGGGCTTATTAGATACATTATGTTCTCATAGTACTACTACAAGGAGCATCCTCATCACAACTGATCTGTGGGATTGGTAATTGCAATTTTTCATTCTTAAAATTTTGTCCCCGTTGGCAGGAGACCAGCACCATGTCAGCTTCAAGGACTCTGGCCAGGACAATTTTGGTCTCTTCGTGCGCTACTTCTCGAGATAGAGATCCAAACAAAATGCTCGTTCTAGTTTGATAATTGGATCCAGCATTGAGAAGAGTTGGTACCGTACATTGGTGGATTTACATTCAAGTGTAACGGCGATTTTGACCTTGTTCTGAGAGTCTCCGTTTTGATGTTAAGAGGTTGATCTCAAGCAACTTTAGTGAACAAAATAAAGGAAAGAATATTTGCGACTTGAGCCAATTTTGTTGAACACTTTGTTTCTCCATTTTTGGGGGCGTGCAAGGCGAGCGTGGGATGGATCCCGAAGAAATCCCGGGCCAGGAGACTTCAAATTATGGAAGGCTCTCTGATGTAACCATAGAATGTTTTTTTTTTTTCAGTGTAAAATTATCTTCAATTTCAGTAAGGATCAAAATTCATACTCTGTAAACATGTTGCAGCAACAAATTGTTGTATTGCAAGAATTTCTATTCTACATCAATAAATTTTGTTAAAAAGAAAAGGTCAATTTTAGACCCGTTGGCCTGTAATTGATCTATCAATGGTGAACAACATTGAGGAAATTACACCACCTATGTTGTTTTTAATGGATATTCAATTTTTACATTTCAATAAATTTTAAACCAAAAATACTGCAGTATATGAAGTCAAAGTAATAATCTTAAAATAACTTATCTCGTAATGTCAATCAATGCCCCAACTACTATCACTCCTCCAAGCACGCTGCAAAAGAATCCCCAATACATAGTTCATTCATTAATACAACAAAATCACAAATCTGAACTTCGGCTCCCAAAAAAATCCCTATTCCATCCCATAGATCAATCCTCTTAATATCCCAATCTCATTTTTATCCATATTTCCTGTCAAGAAATTCGCTTTACATACTACAATTTTGCAGTTGGTGATTCTCTTGACAATATAAAAAAAAGGACAATCATTTCTATTGCTTGCCCTGGCTTTTCACTCTCAAAGAGTCTCTCTCTTCTATAAAACGGAGCAAAGCGCATGGCGCTGGAGTGAAGAAAGTTCCCCCATGCCTTAAGATGCCTAATAGAGGTTGAGACAATCATAAATCCACCTCTAAATCATATAGATTTTACAATCCCTTTTATATTTATATTATGAGCTCATTTGGGAGAGATTTTTGGGGGAAGAATTGATTTTGAATAGTGATATGACGGGAAATGTGTGGTTGAAAAAGAAGAAAAAATTATTGATGTGATGGAAAATATTATTTTATTGAAGAATGTGTGGTTGAAAATGAGAATTGATTTACTGTAGAAAAATCTAATTCCTCCCAAACAGGACAT